TGGATTGGGGGGCGGGGGCGCTGCCGAGCCCAGAGGGCTGGCTGGGTGACAGCGAGGCGAGGTGGCTGAGCCGCTTGGGGGGCTGGGGTCGGAGGTTCCCTACGGAAGAGGCACTGGCCCTGAGTTGGGGTGACTGGAGGGGCGTAGGAGGGAGAGTCACTGGGGGGGAAGGGCTAGCGGGAGGAGGGGCATTCGGAGGGCTGTGAGCGAAGCTGTGAAGAGGGGGTCCCCAGTCTGGGCTAACCCCTGGGGCTGGAAGCCCGCCCAGCCAGAGGGATTGGAGGTCTGCTGTGATAGGAAGGGTCTGCCAGGGAGAAACCAGGGAGGACCTGGGCTTCGTGGAAGAAGGAGAGGAGAGAACTGGGAGGCAAGGGCAGGGGCCAGGCCAAGGGCTTCGAACTTGGGGGGCTCCCCGGAGGACCTGGCTCTACTGGGGGATGGATCCAAGGGGACAGCAGGTTACTGGAGGGAGCAGAGGCGGAGGAAAGAAGGTGCTCAAGGCTGATATGGGTCTCTGCTGTTGGAGAGCTGGAAAAGATGGGGGGCCTGAGGGAGAGTAGCGGAAGCTCGCGGGGGAAGGCTGGGGGCGTTGAGAGAGGGAGACTGGGAAGTCAGCAGGAGGGGGCTGTGCTGGGGAGGGACAGCGCTGGGGGCGGTGACAGGGTTATGGCCGGGTGTGCTGCAGGGAGAGGAAGCTGCAGGCCCTGGGCTGCCTCCCCCACCCCAGAGGAAGGGGCCCATTTCTCATGTCCCCACCCCCAAGAGGAAGGGACCATTTCTCATGTCCCAACCTCCTCCCCCAGCTGAAGGAGCCATCTGCCCTGGGCGCTTGAGCCCTGGAACCTCTGATGGGCCCTTGGAGGCAAAACTGGCTTTGGGGGACTGTTGTGTGCTTTACTCTCACCCCCACCTGCATCCTGGGCAAAGGCATTTGGTGTCTTACTGAGCCAGGGCTGGAGTGGGCTGCTTCTTGGTGCCGGGAGGTGATGGGGTGGGGGTGGGGGCGGCTCTCCAGACCTGGAAGTGATAACATGGATTTAGAGGCTGGGTCTTGGACCTCCAGGCCTCTGGACTGCCTTGGGGGTTCTGCTTTTGTGTGTGCTGGGGAGACGGGGCAGGTGAGGATCTCCCATTCATTCCTGCCCCTGCCTCTTGTCCACCTTCCCTGTGTGGGATATTCTGGGGTGCAGTGGAGGACCTCAGAGCTTTGCATTCTCTGTCTTCTGCCAGAGAAGTAGACAGACACAGGGAGACAGAGGAAGAGGGA